CAATCACCCACCTTCGGCTTGGTAGCACAGCTTCCTTCCACTAGGCCAACGTAGCTCTCTCTTGGTCGTCATCATTGTTATTGTTGTTTAATGCCGTCGAGTCATAGACCACTCATAGTGACCCTATGAATGAACAGCCTGAGCACTGTTCGTACATAGAGACAAAACACATAACAAGTGTTAATAATTTGGCATATAATACTGAGGATATCTCTTTTAAGAATTATTGCAACCAGTTCATTTTGTTGTTCAAAGATTGATAGCTCTCAGATTGGGTCATAAATATACTACTTTACAATTAAATTTACTAGTTTGTCATTTACCAGCTTTGTCTTCTGAACTAGATTACAGTCTCTTTGAAATCAGAAAAGATCTATTTTGGAATTATAAAACAAAATTTTAAAAAAGCACAAAGCCATTGGAGTCAAAACACTTGAGTTAGTAGAATCTTGACTCCACTACTCTCTACCTATGTATCACTGGAAAATAATTGTTCCTTTCTAATTTAAGATAACAATATCCATCCCACCATCCTCACAGTATTGTTCTCAGAATCAAATTAAATCATGTACAGGAGAAAACTGTATCCTGTATACCCTGTTACTAATCCTCTAGTCTACACATGCCTCCTGTGTGGGACACATAGTAAATAAATGTGACACTTCAATTATACTTAATTCCCTAAAGACTTGCAGTCCTTGAAGTTTGTACCAGAGAGTTGATATTGCTCCTTATCCTCCTTTACTTCCTTTTCCAAAGATGTCAAAATTTGAAGTGTGCTCTATAACCCAAAAGTGATCAGGCATGTGGGAAAGTAAACTGAGTTTAGATCAGCTGCCCATTCACAGAATGTTAAGCACTTTATTGAGGATGGAGCTTGTGAGATTGTCCATTTCAAAACTTTCCCTAGGCTTTCTTTGATCATTATTAACTATGATGACTATGGGTTTCAGTTCATAAACCTTCAAGTGATTGACTGTGGTAGGGAAAAAGGGATAACCTTGAGGATTTAAAACCATTTCCCTTCTGTGTTTACAGGGACCACAGAGTCAAAAGACAGCTCCAACTTCATGACGATAAATGGGGTTCTGGGGGAATCAATAAGTCTTCCCCTGATGCTTCCTGTAGAAGAGAAGATTGAATCCATCATTTGGCAACACGAAAAAACACCTCTCACTTTCTCACAGCCATATAAAACCATTTGTCTGGAATTCTTTGTGACTTTCCCAGAAAGGAAAGAACAGCTGAATGTTACCCGAGACTGCTCCTTACAACTCACCAACCTGATGATGAACGACAGAGGATCTTACCGTGCCCAGGTCGCCTCAAATTCTTCTAAAACATACTACTACATGTTGAATATTTTTGGTAAGTTAAAATGTGGCATTGTGAGAATGAAAACCAGTGATGTATTTTAATCCTATGTGACTGCTAGTGTGCATTATAGCCTGCTGGTAAAGAATGTGACATTTGCAGTCAGACTAAGATCTGATGAGAGAGTAGTTCAAAGACATTGCCTAACCAGTTAGTGACTGGGAATAAAATTTAAGTCTAGTGACTCCTAGTCCAAAATCACTTCACCTAACAAAATTATCCCTTTCAACTAGAAATACAGCACAACTAATGGAAGTGAAATATCCATGTTATTATACTTACTATGTGTATTGTATGTATGCCATTAATCTTCATTTAAAGTTTCATGACATAGTCTCACTCTTAAGAACATAGAGGTTAATTAATTTATCTGCCATTTCAGACACACTAAGTGGTAAAATCAGGACTTCAGTCCAAGAAGTTGCCTTCAGAGACTTCCCACATAAAGGCCTTCTTATGACAAGTACCTATATAAAAGCTAGTTGAACCTGATAGAGTGGTCAGTATACCAAAAAGGCTCTTTCTATGAAATGCTATGTGAGGGCAAGCTGATAAGGAGGAAATCTTTTCTCTGTCAAAGTTTTTTATTTCTAATAATATTTTCCTCTATGTGACTCATTGTGGTCACGAATCAAAGTTGTAGCACCAAGATTAAAGAATTAAGTTGTCCTCAAAAAAAATTAAAAAGAATATATAATGAAACAGCTTATGATTCAATAGTAGATGAATACTGTTCAAGATGCCACAAATGGCCTCAGAGTGATCATTTAGCAGGGATGCTGTTAGGAGATTTGAACATGAAATTAGTAATCAGATGAGATAACTTCAAAGATCTCTGAGATTCCATAGTTCTTACCCACTAGAAAATCCACAGGATCTAAAATTCAGAGTCCTTTGGGATATGACGTGGTATCCAAAAAAGTTCTGTTAAAATAGAAGGTCTACACAGATAGACTCACTATATGTGTACATTTCATATTCCCTGAATAGTTGGTGGGTTTACCATGTTACATTCCTGAAAGTTATGTCCCTGAAAGAATAGGACACAGAGAAGGGAAGTGTGATTGAAAAGAAAGACAAATCTAGAGAAGTTCCAAATAGGAGTTTCCAATCAAGGAGGCGGGGGAACCCAACAAAATAAATCACTCCCATCGAGTTGATTTCAACTCAGTGACCCTACAGAACAGGATAGAGCTGCCCCATAGGAATTCCAAGGCTGTAGTTCTGTACAGGAACAGGCTGCTCCTCTTCATCTACAGAGCTGCTAATAAGTGTAAACCATCTAACTTGATTAACAATCCAGCTTAGCCCACCCTGGCTGTGTATTAATTTCTAGGACTGTCTTAAGTTACCACAAAACTGGGGGATTTAAATTAACATAAACTTATTCTTTCACAATTTTGAAAGCCAGAAGTCCTAAATTAAAGATATGTGTTTCATGCCTTCTGGAGACTGTAGGAAGATGCTAATTTTTTGTTTTTTCCGGCTCCAGTAGTTGTTGACATTCCTTAATGCTCTGTGATCACACTATTCCAGTTCCTGCCTCTGGATTCATAGTACCTCCTCCTCTGTTCTGTGTTTTCACTTCTGTTTCAAATCTGTGTTTTTCTCTTAAAAGGACTCTTGCTATTAGATTTAGGGCCCAGTGACATGACCTACTCATCCCACTATTCTTGATATAATTATATCTGCAAAGATCTTTGATAATATAAAATTATATTCACAGGTTTGAGGGATTTAAGATGTGGACGTATCTTATTAAGGACTATCATTCAATCTACTCCAGATAGGATTACCCAGGGTACTAGTGATTAAGGTAGTTCTGTTGTTGTTTGCCATTTAATTGCAATTACTTATTGTTGACCATCCAGTAGATTTTCAGAGGTAATGGGCTAAATATGTTAGAGAAGATAAGGATGATGCAGAATAGATCACAGTACAGATCTGTTGTTCACAGGGTTGTTATAAGTAGTACTTGATTTGAAGACACCTAATAAACAGCTTCAGTTTGCTTGGCTCTACAGTCAACACTCTTGGTACCAGCAGCCAGGAAATTAAAAGACTAATTGCATTGGGAAGTCAGCTGTCAGAGAGCTCTCCAAAGTACTGAAGAGCTATGATGTCAGTCTGGAGACTAAGGTGCACCTGATACAGGCCAAGGTCTTTGCAATTACTTGCTGTTCATCAGAGAGCTGGACAATGACTAGGGATGATAGAAGGAGAGTTGATGCCTTTGAGATTTGGTGCTGGAGAAGAGTATTGAATGTACCATGGACTGCTAGGAAAACAAACAAATTCATCCTGGAAAGGGTCAAACCAGGCACCTCCTTGTAGGCAAGGATTCTGAGGCTCCGTCTAACATACTTTGGACATATGACAAGGCAAGATTAGTCCTTGGAGAGGGACGTCATGCTTGAGAGGATGGAGGGGACAGCACAAGAAATGAAGACCCTTTATGAAATGGGTTGATTCCATCACTGGGGTAATCGGGGTTGGTGTGTCAGAGACACTAAGACTGGCAAGAGACAGAGCAGGGTTTAGGGCTATTGTTCATTTGGTCTCTATGAGTTGCAGGTGACTCGACAGTACACACCAACAACAACAATAACAACAGGAACAAAACAAAAAGAGAGACACAGCCAATGGAAACTCCAGAATTATACTCTGAATTGTGTCACTTAAAAGACACATATGTAAAAACAAATTACATTAGGGAAATCTGCTGTCAGAGACCTCTCCAGAGTGTTAAAGAGCACTGATGTCAGTCTAGAGCCTAAGGTACACCTGATTCAGGCCATGATCTTTGCAATTATTTGTTATACATCAGAGACCTGCACAATGACCAAAGATGACAGAAGAAGAATTGATGCCTTTGAGTTGTCATTCTAGAGAAGAGTATTGAACATACCATGGACTTGCAAGAGAGCTAACAGGTCTGTCTTGAAGAGGGTGAGACCATCCTACTCTTTGGAAGCAAAAATTCTGAGGCTTCCTCTCACATACTTTGGGCATGTTTCCAGGAAGGACCAGTCATCGGAGAAGGATATGATGCTTGGAAGGGTGGAGGGACAGTGCAGGAAAGAAAGACTCTGGATGAGATGGATTGACACAGTGACTGTGGCAATGGGGGCAGATGTGTCAGAGATCACGGTATTGGCTCAGGATAGAGCAGGGTTTAGAGCTTTTGTGCATAGGGTCGCTATGGGTGATAGTCAACTCAGCAGCACATAACAACAATGACAAAATGTGGAAACCATGTCATGATCTAATAAATCAAATAGTTCTAAGAGTGGTACTTCAGTTATAGCAGCACTGTTTATTGACTAGTTAATCATCTACCAAGACAGAATTTAGTACTGAGAAAGTGAGGTGCTGCTCTAACAGACACCAAAAATGTGGACGCTATTTTGGAGTTGGATGATCAGTAGAGGCGGGAGAATTTTAAGGTACCTAACAGTGAAAGCCTTGTACTATCTGCTGAACAAATAATCTGTGAAATTAGACTAAATTAAGAAAAATGTGGTGGTATCTGAACTGAAAAAAGATTCACCAACAACCTGTGATATGAGCATGATAAAAAAAAAGTGCTTGTTGAAAGTGAAAAGAACTTAAAGCACTAATTGGAGATCAAAGACTACAACCTTCAGTAAAGATTACACTTCAACATTAAAAAAAAAATCTTCACACCTGTACTAAGAGGCAACATTATGATAGTTGGAGAGAAAAAAATTGAAGTTGTTGAGATTTTCATTTTACTTGGATCCCTAGTCAGTACTCATGGAGGCACCAGTCAGCAAATCAGACATACTACATCGGGAAAATCTTCTGTCAAGGACCTCTTTTAAGTGCTAAATAAAGAGCAAGAGTGTCGCTTAAAAACAAGGATAATTGGGGCCTTTGCATTATGATATTGGCAAAGAACATTGAATCTATATCATGGACCGCCAAAAGAACAAACAAATCTGCCTTGGAGGAAGGGCAACCAGAGTGCTCCAGCGAGGCAAGGATAGTAAGTCTTAGTCTCACACACTTTGAGTATGCTGTCAGGAGGGACCAGTGCCTGGGATAGGAAGGATATCATGCTTGGAAAAGTGGAAGGTGAATGAAAAAGAGAACACTCTCAGTGAGTCAATCAAAGAATTAATGTAGAGACTGCTAGAATGGACTTAAGTCGAGGATGATCTAATGGTGGTACAGTATCGGACAGGATTCCGTTCTGTTATGCACAGGGTTGTTATGAATGGGAGCTGATTTGATGACATCTAAAAATGACAGAATGAAGACACCATTGGTGGAATTATGGATGTCAGAGGCAATTGTGATATGGGTTCAGGAGAAAAAGGAAGATATGGCAGATGTTAAGAAACTGTGGCCCAGAAACGGCAACAGTAGAACTAGAAAACTCCACACAGAGATAAATACTCAGCATGAGAGCTAACCTGAGAAGCAAGAGAGCTGAGCACTTTTTTGGCAGAATGGGGTCATTTCAAGCACTGGTGGATTAGACTAGCTGCAGTGCTAGATAGTTGGGTGTCCTTGGACAGTGGCTACTGCACATTGGAATGCCTCTGACATTTATTTAAAAAAAAAAGTAAACTCATTGCTATCCAATCAGAATCAACACATAACGGATCCTCCAGCTGTTTCTCATCAGGCATTTTTCCGCTTCTGAGCTGCTAGTGGATCTGAATCGCCGTAGAGGTGCTGCCTTTGGATTAGCAGCACAGCTTCCTGTGGACTATGCTACCAGAGCTCCCTTGGCATGTATTAGAGATAAGGACCTTTGAAACAATAACTAAAGCAGGACAGAGATCAGGGTGGCCTCTCAGAGATCAAGGAGAATGAGAAACAGAGCTGCCTTACTTTTCAAAGGCAAGACTTAACTCTCTGGACATCCAGGGCTGCATCTGTCATTGGAAACACTTCAGTTGGTATCCCATCAATTCCTGAGGCCTTATTTTTATTTTACCAATGCCTCAGTGCACCTTGAATGT